CCCCAAAAACCCCAAAACCCCAAAACCCCAAAACCCCTTTGTACCTGTAATTATTTGAATGTTTGTGACTTTTAATTTAGTCGTAATTTTGGATAACGATTTCCTATTCATTTCTTTTAGTCCTTCACTGTGGTGTAGATAGTGGCAAACAGGCATGCAATCATGACAATAAGGCCGAAAATATGATAGATATGGGCAATATAATACTGCAGCGGCGAAACGTTTGCTTTCTCATTCCTAACACTGATGATATAAAATTGGGAAGGTCCAATGAAAATGAGGTATGAACCAGCAATAGAGCCAATAATACCGAAGACCAAAGTAATATCACTGAGAAGGCATGCTGCAGTTACTATTAAGCAGTATAAGATAACGCTAACGCTGTAAAACAAGATTGGGTTCATTGATAAATAAGCTTTCCCTTCAGAGTCTCCTGCACCCTCTGGCCTCATAACACTATCCCTTAAATTATAAGCATCATCAACTGTTACTCTAGGTTTGACTGAATAAGATTTCCTCATAATCTCATCAATAATAATTAGCAAGGCTTCTTTTCCAACAAAGAGGACAATCGGAATATGCATCATTATGATAATTAAGAAAACAATATCAACTACAATAGGAATCCATCCGTCCATATGACTCACATTTTCCAAAACGTTGGCACTCAGGTCGTTTCCATACACCAATAAAGCTACTATAGATACTACTATATAAACAACGGCTCAAAATGTAAAAGACATCGCAGTAGCCTTAATACCGTTAGCTTTGGTTTTCGTCTCTAAAGAAGAAAACACAGGGAAGAATGCAGATTGGAACGCATACGATACGAATAAAGTCGGAATATTAGCTAACATGCTAATACTAAATTTGGGTTTTGAAACTTCTCCAAATTCGAACTTGTCTGTACCTTCCTTGATGACAAGAACAACCATTGCAATGATGAACAGAACAACTCCTCAGAGAAGGACAAAACCAGCACCTTTAAGTTCTTGGATTTCCTTCTTCACAGCAAAATAGAAAAGAAGTACTGCTACAACTAGTATCGAAAATTGTCTACTTGACCAGAATTTACCTTTAATCGATTCAAAGTGTTCCAGAAGTCCATTTCCGATGTCACCAACTATCATGAAGTAAACAATCGGCATACCTCCTTGAGCGAGGACAATAAGACTATTAATAATGAAAATCGAAGCTCTTCCGAATCAATAATACCCAAGCTCCGAAAAAGATGATAATCCTGATATATCTTTCGCCTCCAAAAGTAAATGTACAGAATAAATTCCCCATATGAAATTAAGAGTATGAACTACTAGCACAAGCCAGATCCCTGTCTGCAAAGTTGCGAAGGGGATACCTACGATCCCTCCTCCAATAATAGTGCCTACAATAGTCAGCATTGCACTGAACACTCCTACTTTGGACCCTAGTTCATTGTCTTTATGTCCGAATGACTTCTTAGCAATGGAGGCTTTCTCTGATTTCTCCTTGCTGCCATTAATGTCGATGTTTGTCTCTAAAAGACCTCTCTTTTCGTCTAAACCGGATTCTGAGATGTTCTTGTGGCTCATTTGTTAATTAATTGGAGACTTATTATTCAATTATGAATTTAAAGTACGGGGTTTTGGGGTTTTGGGGTTTTGGGGTTTTGGGGTTTTGGGG